GAGCGAGTGCAGGGAGGGGGCGCGGGCGGCGGGCGACGGCCCGAGGCGCCCGGTGCCAGCTCGTCCTCTGGCCGCCGGCCCGTCGTTGGCCCTGCAAAGTTGAACGCCAGTTCCCCTTGCGTCCTGTGTGGGCTGGGCGCTCCCTCCCTGCGCTGATGCTTAAGGCGGCCCTGCCCGGCAGCCAGGCGAGGCCGGAGAGCGCCCCGACTGTCTCCCAGGTAGGAGATGGAGGCCTCCACACCCAGCCTGCGGGCAGCCAAGAACTGTCCAGAGAGACTCCAGCTCTCCTCAGGCCCCTTGGGCCCCTACTCGCCCTCTTTACCTTTGCCGTTTGCGAAGTGAACCCCATAACCTAGAAAGTCTCCAACTCATTGGGCCCCAGGAGAACTGTGATTCTCAGTGAAACAGTACTCAGGGTTTCAAAACTGTACATGGAATACCAGGTGGCTCTCCCGCCCTCTCAAGGCCAGCCACAGCCTGTAAACAGCGGTTCCTCTCTGTCCTGATGTCCATGTCTTGCATCCCCATGGTGAGAAGGGTACTGGGGCCGGAGCCAGGTCGGGCTTCCTCTGCACCCAGCCCTTACCTTGCTTTCTGCCTCCCTCCCTGGAAACTGGGTCCACGCTCACCTTGATCCACTGTGGATTCTAAAGCAACCTGTGCTTTCTCCTCAAATGGGGGAGACAGGCAGCTACCGGGAACAGGCTGGGCCAAAGGCAGGGTGGAGGACACGCTCCTAGAGACCTATTGCCTTGGGCTGCAAGCTGGGCCTTGGCAGACCCTGGGGGGTTCCTAGGCCTTGTCCTGATGAAGAACCCTGCCCCCCTGCTCCGCTGTGTAGACACTGAAGCCTGAGCAGGCAGGGGGAGCAGATGGAGAGAAGGTTGTAGGCAGCACTGCGAGGGATATGTCTTCAGCAGAGTGGGAGAGCTGAAAGTCCCTAGAGAGAGTGGGTGGGAGCGAGGACAGGAGGGGAGTGGGGCCCAGGGGTTCCCAGGACCCTGCTCACCCAAACTTCCCCGTTCACTCGTCCATGCAATGCCACTACCCCATTAGTCACCACAGGCCCAGACCCACATCAAGCTCAGGCAACAGAGAAACCCCCATCAAATCCAAGCCTCCGCACAGGAAGTTTCCACTGTTGACAGCAAAACCAGTTGGATTTTATAAAGAGGGAGGTTGAGGGAGTGTGCAGAGGGCATGCAGGAATACCTGTTGATTAGACACACAAAGGAGTAAAGAAGGTAGAGGACAAAGGAGGGGGGACAGTGAGCAAGGGACGCAGTGGTGGGTCAGCTCAAGGGAATGTTTATGAGCACCTCCTCTTTGCCAGGTGCACTACTGTCTTGTGCAGTTCTGCTCTTCAGTTTTGTGATCATCCTGACAATGAGAGTGGTCATCACCGTCTGTCATGAGCATCTGATCGCTAGGGAGGGTCCCAAAGTAGTCCACAGTACTTAGCCAGGATGTGGCAAGTTTTAGGCCAGGTCTGAGTCCAGTGCCAGAGACCTTTCCACCTAACCTGCAACTTCCCAGGAGTTTGGTGGCTGCCTCTGCGCTACAGTTTGGTGGCCCTTGCCTGGCTCTTCAGCACCTCCTCATCACAAGGACTATGTGACAGCCATTCCTTTCATAAGGGCACTGAGGCTCTGGAAGGTGGCTGGTGCGAGTGAAGTGACACCATCAACTGTTAACCCACTGAATACACGGGCCGGAACTTACTCTGAATATAGGGGCATCACCCAGGAGCAACATCAGGACTTTTTTTTTCCCAAGAAGAAATGCCATTAAACAAATAGTATTTTTCTAGCAACCAGAACAGCTTGTAGTTGAAAATCTTCCCGCGTTACAATTTTTACACCATTTTATAAGTGAGGAATCTGAGGTTTAGGGAGGCAAAGTAACTCGCTCAGTCTCAAACACTTGATCCGTCTGTGTCCCAGGTTTGCATTCTCTCTACCATCACAGAGCACTCTGGCCCACATTCGAGTGATAGCTACCCACAGCTGCCTAGGGAGAGAATCCCAGTTTCTCTGCAGAGAAGATGATGTGTGGCCCCAATTCTGCCCACCTGATGTGGCGCCATGTGGTAAATCAGCTCTTAGGCAGTTAAAATTAGTCCACTAGAGACAAAGGGTTAGAACCTGTCCTCATCCCTTCCTTGTGGGAAGACAAGGGCAAGTTACTTAACCTCTCACAGGTTTATTTTCCTCTTCTGGGGAGTAGGGATAAAAATAATGCTGATCACATGGCATGATTGACACAAGTGGAGAATAATATCCTTGTGGCATGAGGAGATACACTAGCATTTGCTTCATACAGCTATAGAGAAGATACCATACATTGTTGAACTGAGGCATTCAGCACACATTTAGGCCACCAATTAGCGCAATTATCATCACCATCATCCTCATTACCTAAAGAAGACACCTAGTTTCATTCTCAGATGTTTGGTGTTCTGAGGGAGCAAGCAGAGATAGGAGGCCTGCTTCCTTCTCTGCTGACTCTCTGTGTGATCTTAGGTGAGTCACCAACCTCTCTGGGACCCTGTTTCCCTATCTGTTTATCCACCTATCTGCTCTCCTATCCACCTAGGCATTCATCTGGATGACTATCCACGCACTCATCCACCTACCCAGCCAGCCACCCACCCACCCACCTATCTATCCATCTATCTACCCATCCATCCATCCATCCACTCATCCATCTATCCATCCATTACCTATAAATTTTGTTTGCATATCTCTTATCTATTGAGTGGCTCTAAGGTGCGAAACTCTGTGCTCTATGCTAGGATTGCAGCTGCTCCCATCTCCTACTCTCTGGGGCTGACCATGCATGAAAGTCCAGCAATACAAGGCCCCTACTCCCTCCCACAACTAATGCTCTATGCTCAGGGAGGCAGTTCAACACAGTGGTTAAAGTCTGGGCTTTAAAACCTGACAGACCTCAGTTTGAACGGCTTCTCTCCTACTAATAGCTGTGTAACCTTGAACAGCTGTTGTAACCTCTTTGAAACTTTTTAAATAAAGGCTTTCATTTCAGAATAAATGTTATAATTACTATAAATCATTTAGGTGTAGTGCACAAATCATAGTAAACCATCCACCCATCCATTCGTACACGCATTCCATCCTTTCAAAAATATATTTTGAGCACCTACCCATGTACCAGGTAGTGTTTGGGGCACGATCAATACAGCATTGAATAAGACAGACAAAATTTCTGTTCTTTGGCTTTCACCTTGTACAGGTGAGAGGTAGTAAAATGCTTAATAAATATGAATTTTGGAGAGCTCTGAATTCTACAAAAAAGATAAAAATAAGATGATTTGAGAGTCAATGGGGCAAGTTCTCTTTGAGTGATGGAGGATGCCCTCCTAGAATAGGAGACATTTTAACAGAAAAGGTCAGTGACAAGACATCTAGGTACAGAGGGGGAAAAAGTGGCTTCCAAGCAGAGAAACAGCATGTGTAAGACCCTGAGCCTGAAACCACAATAGCCATTGTTCTCCAATTTCTGTGATGTCATTTCTTTGTCTACACAGATCACAATTAGTCAGGGGCTCGATTCTGAGTTCATTAGATAGCTGCTCTCTGTGACTCTCTTTCCGCCAAAGCACAATTCGCATCCATGCTCCCGTCCCACCCAAATTCAGCATCACATGTCTACCTGAGGAACACCTGGCTACTGGGGAGATTAGAATCACTTTAATCTATACAGAGAGTATAGAAAATATCATTTGTCATAGAGAAAAAGATGAAATACAAAAGACATCTTAAAAGAAAGGGAAAGTAAAAAGGAAAACAAAAAGTGCTGGCAATAGTATGGCCCCTGAAGTGAATCCACCCTGAGTCTTTGAGGGGAGGGTGGAATTTTCAAACAGTGACCCCCAGTGTCCTGTGTCCCACCTAGTCTCCATCACTTGCACATAAGTCTGTGCTGCCAGCCCCAGGCAGGATGCCCGGTGTCCACATCATGCTGCCCAGATGCTATCAAGGGAAGATCAGCTGTGATGCAGCCCACCCTACCCAGTGCTGCCACATTACCTGGAAAGGAGCAATCAAGCCCCTTTGGTATCCTTGGAAACATTCCATCTGTCTGTCCCACCTGCCCTGGCTCTTGAGAGACGCCCATACATGGTAGAGATGTGACAGGGAGACAATGCCTGTTTTCCAGTGGAAAGTTTCCAGAATACAAAGTGGGCCTACAAGATGGATTTGCATTCTCCAGAGGCCTGCCTGGCCCGACAGGGAGGAAAACCACAGTGCCATCAGGAACATAGAGATGGCTCAAAGACAGGGGCAAACATGTCCCATTAGGCTGGCCATGTCCTATGGCCAAGTTCTTGAAAACCCAGTTGGTAGTTTTCCTGACTAAGTGTTCTGTGCTTAGACCTCAAAAGTAAGAAAAATCAATCGCAGATAC